GACCATAACCCTAGATATCTATTTAGATATATAGAACCCTTCCTTAATCCGCCCATCATGCATTAGAAAAGGTCCAACGGTCTCTACACATAAAACTAAACCCATACTATATAAAAGACGTAACAAGCCCAACAATAATAATTACTTAAATGGATCACTTTAATTTTGGGCTAAACTATATAATAGCGTATAAATACAATCATAACCGTATAATTCATATACATTATTGTATTTAGGTCCATAAATTCCTTACAATTAGTGCATATAGGACACACTTGATATAATTAATTAGAATTTTTCAGTTTAATCTGTATAGTACAATAATATAGTTCCTTTCCTTCAAACACTAACACAAAGCGCCATTATTTCCATTTAATTACTTTCGTACGTTACATATACGTGGTTGGTGCAATCACTATCACTGAAGCCCTCATCTCTTTATATCAAGGTCAAGGTGGTTGTTAAGAACCTAAGATGATTATTGAAATTTTAAAAATGACATAAGGATTAATAGGGGCGGGCTTGCCCCAGTTTCTCACATTATTGTTTCTTACATGACATTTTTGTAAATAAACCAATAACTTTATCTAATCACCATTACTTGTGAAGCTCACATTAATGAAAAATTTAAGGTATAGGCGTCTGTATCATGCTTAATTAGTACAGTCAAAAAACGTGGAAAGAACATCTAGCTATTTTGTAAAGAGCATACAACTGTTTTGTAATGAATATATAATTGTTTTGTAAAGAACATCTAGCTTTATGTTTTTTTTTTTGTATATCTAAAGTACATCTGTAATATTAACAAAGAACACAATAATATTATGTAATGAACATTATTTATATATACCTACCATAATCTAAAGACAAAATTCAAAAAACATTTCACAATAAGCAATGAACATTATGTCACAAATAAAAGTACACTGACAATCAAAGAACATGAACGTATGTTCTTTTCACTCTTTTTTGGTGCAAATATGTTCTTTTCACTCTAGGTATATGTTCATTACATTTTAATAGTATGTTATTTCACTCTAGGTATATGTTCATTACATTTTAATAGTATGTTTTTTTTCACTATAGCTATATGTTCATTACTTTTCTATAATATGTTCTTTCCGCTTTTTTTTTTTTTTTTAAAAAAAAAGCAAAACGGCTGTACGATGCATCGTACAGTAGTGATGGCAATGGATCGGATTCGGATCGGGTGGAACTTCACCCGCATCCATCCATTATTCTAATTGCTTTATCCACATCCATCCATTCATCACCTGCTTCACCCATCATCCATATCCGTCCATCTATCATCCGCGGATGAAACGGGTGGATCGGGTGATTAATGGATGAACATTTTATGAAAAAAAAGATTCACATAAAATTTAATGTATGGTTATTTTTACCATGAATTATTATTATTTTTCAAATAAAAAGGAAGTACTAACTACATATTCTTTGAAAAAATTAATTTGCAACAAAATAAAGTATATTTATTGTATATTTTAAATTTTTTTAATTAAAATTCTTAGATTAAAAATCTTTATATATGTTAAACGGGTGGGTGGATGGTTAGCGGGTGAAATAATCTTCATCCACATCCGATCCGATCCGTCATCCACTCTATCCGTCACTCACTTTTCATCCATTTATTTCGGATTTTCGTCCATTTATTTTAAGCGGGTGGATCGGGTTAGCAGATATCCATCTAATGTTATCATCCTTACCGTACAGGCGCCTGCAGGGACCAACGATTGCACATTAATGAAAAAGTTACTTATTTATTTACTTACGAAAATATCATGTAAGAAACGATTTTTGTTACTCACTGTGAGAAACTTGTGTTTTGAGAAACTTGCATTTACCCAATTAATAGTTGATTTAATTTGAAAATTATATGATTGATGAATTGGTGGATTTGTGGATTTGTGTCATGAATTAATGATTGATCAAAACATAAATTGTGAAAAAGGGGCTCACCTGACGGACGAGAGGAAATATCTCAAACAAGGTGGGTTGACAACAACATGCTGATTGGAAGGGTACTAGGGTGTATTTAGAGCTGTCAATTCAGGTAAACAGGTCGGGTTTGGGTCGGGTAAGTGTAAGTCGGGTCAACTCGGGTCGGGTCATTTTGGGTTAATGTCGTAATCTATACGGGTCGGGTTCGGGTTGGGTCATGCTTGAGTCGGGTAACGTCGGGTCATACATCTTATCGGGTTTAGGTCGGGTTAATAACAGGTCGGGTGAATAATAGGTCGGGTTTAATTCGGGTTTTCACGGGTTAAAACGGGTTAGGGTCATTCTTGGGTTCGAGTCGGGTTCGGTTTAAGTCAATAATTTGTGCGTTGTAATCAGGTCGGGTCATTCTCGGGTTTGAGTCGGGTTTGGTTCAAGTCAATAATTTGCGGGTTATAATCAGGTCGGGTCATTTCCAAGTCTGGTCATTCTCAGTTCAAGTGGGGTTCTGTTCAAGTCAATTATTTGCGGGTTACAATCAGGTCGGGTCATTTACAAGCGGTCATGTTCGGGTTCAAGTCGGGTTTGGTTCAAGTCAAAAAATTGCAGGTTATATTCAGGTCGGATCATTTCCAAGTCAGGTCATGTTCGGGTTCGGATCTCAAATATTAGGTTAATCTGGGTATCGGGTTGATTTCAGGTCGGGTCATATCAGGTTCTGGTACATTTTTTGGGTCGGTTTGTTAACAGTTCATGTAATGACATTCACGTTTAATCATTATCAATTACTTCATTAATTGTAAGAGAAATAATTTCAGTGAAGTTTAAATTCGAGATAATAAGTTCTAATAAGTTTAGATAAGATCTACATAATAAGTTCATATTAATTCCAATAAGATAGGTTTAGTTTAGATTTTTAGAAGATAAGTTCAAACCCTATTCTAATCTATTCACATTGATTCCACTCATTTTAGGGATAACAATTTCAGATAAGTTCATATTCGAGATGACATGTTTAGATAAAATACAATAAGTTCATATAAATTCGGATAAAATAGGTTTAGTTTAGATAAGTTAAAATACAATAATTTTTTTTTCTAAACTTATTTGATTTGAAATTATCTAAACTTATTTATTTTCAATAAGTTCATATCCGAGTTCACGTTTTTTTTAATGGCATTTTTTTTAAAAACGTTTAAATGGCATTATTCAAAACATTTAAATAAGATTAAATAGGCAAATGAATAATAAAATTAGAAAAATAAAAGACCAATAAAAGCCTTTTAACAGCTCTAGTTCGGGTCACCACTTTCTCGAATCCAGACAAGTCAAGTCATGATCGGGTACTGGTAAATTATTTGGGTTAGATTATCATCGGGTCATTGTCATATACGCATTCTCACATTCAATCATTATCACATTCAATTCAATCATTATCCGAAATTATTAGTTTTTATTACCTTTTTTTTATTTGAATTTTTTTTATTTTTATTTAAATATAAGATAAAACAAACAAGTCTAAGGTCAAATAGTATTTGTAAACCGTAATTGACTACATTAATGCACATGCACCTACAAAGTAGTAGTATTCGTAAACCATAATTGCTTAATTGAAATATAGAATGAACTTGCACCTAAAAAGTAGTAGTATTCATAAATCGTAATTACTAAATTTAAATAAAGAATGCACATGCATCCAAAAAGTAGTGGTATTCATAAATTTTTATAGGTTTTTTGAGACATATAAATTGTAATACATTTGATAATAGAGAATTTTATTTAAAATATTTGAATAAGCTTAAATAGGAAAATAACTCATAGAATTAGGGAAAAAAAAAGATATGACGTAATCCTAGATTGCTAGTTAATTTCGGGTCAATAACAAGTCAGGTTGATTTCGGGTCGGGTTAGTGACAGATCGGATTGAATTTTGGGTTGGGTTAGTAATAGGTCGGGTTAAATTCGGGTCGGGTTAGGAATAGGTCGGGTTGAATTCAGGTCGAGTTAAATTCGGGTTTTGACGGGTTAAAACGGGTTTGGGTGAATTTCGGTTCAGGTCGGGTTCGGTTCAAGTCAATATTTTACGGGTTATATTCGGGTCGGGTCATCTCCAGGTCGGTTCACGTTCGGGTTCGGGTCTCAAATACTCGGGTTAACTCGGGTTTAAGGTTGGTTTCAAGTCGGGTCATATCGGGTTCGGGTCATCATTTTTTCGGATTTAGACGGATCGGTTAATAATCGGATTCGGGTCGGTATTTCGAGTCAAGTCAGCTTTTGACAGCTGTAGGTGTATTACTTCAAGAGAATTAAAACAAAAGGATGTGTACAGTGTTAAGTAAAACTCGGGTATCTCTTCTATTTGTATCTCTTTTACCACTTTAATTTAAGGTTTTTTTTTTATTGGTAACTAATATTATTAGTTTAAACCGATGAAAATCAGGATTACCATTTCATGTTGTATATGTTGTTCAATGTACTAGGTTAGTCCCTTGCGATGCACGGTTTTAATAGTAAAAAAATTACTTGTAATTATATAATATAAGTATTTTAAACAAAACATAATAAATCGTGATCCCTCTTTTTAGAGTAATTGAGCTAAAATGAAGGACATGATGTTAGCATTCGTTTTTGATTTATTATAGAAAATGTAAAGAATTAATAAAGAGTGGAAAATCCAAACTGTACAATCACTTACAAAATATATGAGATTATTTTTTACAAAGGTGGAAAAATAGAATGTGAAAGAGACCAATGGTCAATTATTTCTTTTTCATGGGAATAGAATTGAAATTGTGTATTTAAAAGCTTATAGAAAAATGTATAATAAATCAATTATTTCCAAACATTAGCTTTACCTTGAAAAAAAAAAGAAAAAGAATGATATCAATAATAGTTTTGTAGGAATTTTTTTTTTTTTATAAGAAACTGCCACGTAGATAGTTATAATGTCAGCGGTAAATTCTTTAGTATTAGTTATTAGTTATTATAGATTTGATTTGGTACTTATCCACGTAATAATCCATTTTTTAAGGGAACAAACACATTAATAAGTGGAGAAAACTCTTCTAATAATCAATTCAAAAGTCATGTTTTTACTTGATGACATATAAAGACATTTTTTATAATGATATTACTTTTAATATTTAAAAGCAAATTTATTATAAACCAACAAAGTACATTCTCATCAAAATCTCAATCATGGTGGGTCTATTTAATTATTTACTTTTTTTTTATCTTTTATTTTTTTTTTATTTTTTTTTTTTTTATTTTGTAAATGAGTGATGGTGGACTTATCTACGATTAAATTGCTATTAAAAGCCCAAAAGTATGTATTTTCAATTTTGGTGAGACCAAAAGAAATACTTTGTAATAAGTGTGGAGAGAAAATTCCCTTGTGAAACGATAAGAAAACAATAAAATAAAAATTTAAAAAGATGTGGGAAATGAAGTTGGGAGTAATATTATTAACAATGGAAGGAATAAGTGTAAGTACAAATACATTAAGCAAAGCAGCCATGGCTAAAGGAATGAGCAACTATATCTTCACTACTTATACTCATGCTATCTCTCTCTTCTTTCTTGTTCCCTTGGCTTTCTTTTTACACAGGTACGTTATCGATCGCTCCATCAAGAAGCTCGTCAATTACTACCTGTATTCGGATTTAGTTGTCACATAATTATTTATCGAGGTCATTTTTTTTATTGATATGAACAGAAAAACTCCACCTCCGCCCATTGGGTGGTCTATAATTATGCGGCTTTTTCTGCTTGGAGTTCTCAAGTTTGTATTTCTTATCTTTCTATCTCTGTTTCTCTCCTATGGTTGATCAATTTAATATTGAAATTAATGAAATAATGATTATTGAAATTATTCTGATCTTCAAAATTAAATTGACCTTTTTTTTGGGTATGTATTAAAAATGCAGTTGTGGATGCTCCATCTTTTTGTTCGTTGGAATACGATATAGCTCACCAACTCTTGCATCGGCAATGAATAATCTTTCCCCTGCTTTCACATTCATCATAGCCATTATTTTGAGGTAATTAATTTCGAATATCTGATACACTCTAGCTAATTGCGTATCTTTGGTTGGGTAGAACATTTTTTTCATGACTAACATTATGCCATACAAGTAGTATTCTTGCTTAAAGTCATTACTTAAAGTACTATTCTTGGTTAAAGTCATTACATTATGCCATACAAGATGTTACTAACATTATGATGACTAACATCTTTATTTCCTTTTTTCCTTTGCTGGTTTAGTTCGTTTAATTTTTCTAAGTCTATTGCTTGTGTTCTACCCTACGGCTTAAAAAAAAAAAAAAAAAAAGGGTTTTATATCACGTATAAAGTACTAGCACGGAGTAGTACTTCGTATGTAATATTCATTTTCATAAGTAGAAAGTTATATATATATATATATATATTTATATTTATTTTTATTGTAAATTATAAAATTATTTTAAATTAGTCAACCTTATTTAGTTTTTCTATGCTCTATCAACTAACATTATCTTTTATACTTGTACTTAACAAACTTTAAATAGTGGTAGTTGCCACCAAAATGTAGTTATGTTTCTAACATGAGTTCAAAAGTTGGTGAATATTTTAATTAATTAATTGATTGAAATGGTGGTTTTTCATATATATGTAGGATGGAGTTGGTAAATTTTAGTGCACAAAGTAGCGTACTTAAGTCGATTGGAACAATAGTCTCAATCATTGGAGCATTCATAGTGACATTCTACCAAGGACAATCAATCATATTTTTCTCTTCACCAAACAAGCTATCGCTTCACTCTTTATTTGAAACTCAACCAAATTGGGCCGTTGGAGCGCTCTTGCTTGCCACTAGCAGCATTTTTCTCTCACTCACTTATATTGCAAAGGTAAGACTATTCAATCTTTACGCATACCCTAACAGTGTGTTTGGTTATAGAAAGGGTAAGGAAAAGAAGGGTAGGGAGGAGAAGAAAAGGGGAGGGAAAGGGAAGGAAAGGAAAAATGGTGAGTTTTCCTTCTAAATCTCTCCATTGTTGGAGAGATCAATTTCCTACAATTTAATCCCTCTATTTCTCTCCCTCCAATTCCCTTCCTTCTTCAATTGTTATCCAAATGAAGGAAACCCAATCTCTCTATTTCCCTTCCCTTCCTTTCCCTCCATTTCTTTCATTCCAAACACCCCGTAAAAGAATAGGCTTTTAGACTACTTCGTATCATATACCAATTACAAGATATTTTTTGTTTCCTTTTGCACTTCACACCTTTTAATAATGACATTTTACACTTTTATCCCTCTATCTGATGCAAAGGGGCATATTTTGGTGCACATGAATTCCTTTGCCAATTACAATCTCACATTTATGTGCCACGTGGCACCCTCGCTGTTTGGGGTAAAAATACCCTAAACGCGTGGCCCAATGGCCTAGTGACACGTGGCATCCAGCTGTTGGTCAGCAGGGCTCCAATCCTCTGCTGACACGTGTCCTCTAAACCCTAAAAGGGGAACCATCCCTTCCCCACTATAAATAGTGGAAGGACCCTCATTAATGGGCATCTAAACATTCATTGCTTACATTGAATACTCCTCATAAAAACAAACACCTACCCCGAGCAATATTAATTGCGGAATTCTCCCATTACGCGAGAAGTAACTTCAACATTACGTGCATTCTACCTCCCGTATCTTTACTAACTTGATCGTCGGAGGCGGAGCTCCTACCCCCAGGAGTCTTCGTGATTTTGCAGGCACAGGCGTCGAAGGGCATTCTTGGAATTGTAACTCTCCCGCAGGATACATCAAAAAACCCCGAAACATTTGGCGCCGTCTGTGGGGAGAGTACTTCTAAGATGACTTCTGATACTGTGTCACCGAATCAGGGCAAATGGCCTGTGGTCGAGCCTGAGGTCCAGACGGACCATGAAAGTGGAGACGAAATTGAAACATATGTGGCCCCGGATGGGTCTTTCAGAACGAAGCACCCTCGTGCTAAAGATAGAAGAGAACGGGAAATCAGCCAAGCTGCTCCCAGCAACCCAGCCGGGCAACCGGCTGGAATTGCCCAGACGGTGGAGGGCTCAGCTCCCGTTACAAGAAACGAACTCATGTCTTTCATGAATAGTTTCAAGGGTGAGATCAAGAGCCTCATCCGGTCAGCTACTCCAAAGAAGGGTCAGCCGACCAAGAAGCCTTCTGGAAAGAAGGCGGTCAAAGAACGAGTTCCTACCCCTCATCCCAAGCCAAAGGAGGTGGAGGGCTTAAGGTTTGATCCAAGCAGACTCCGTTTTCCTCAAGGGGAGCTGCGAAAGGCCATCCGGCACGTACAGCCGGATGGCTCCAAGAAAACATTCTCAGACGCCCGCACATTTCTCCAAGAGAAGCGAGGTCAGGCGTCTGCGTCGGCCTCAACGTCGACCTTCCCGGACAGTTTCCATGACGTCTCACACAGGCGTACGGGAACGAACCCTGGGAGCCAGACGGGCGAAGCTTCTGCCCGGTCTGGACCCAAAGTGATCCAGCCTGGCTTATTCGGCACACCGAATGGGTTGGGTGGATCCCCTTTTATGTCACCGGGTCTTTTCGGTGGGCAAGCGCAGGAGCCGTACCAACCCACGGACTGGCAGCTGCGCCTGCTAAATTTGGGGGAACAGCCAACGGCGTTCTCACCCGAGATAACCCAGGCGGCACAGCCGCCTAAGATCAAGAATGTTTTGGTGGGGGCCTATGACGGCACCACCAACCCAGAAGACCATCTAATGGCCTACTCTAACCTCATGTACTTTCAGGGGTTAGAGGATGCCGTCTGGTGTCGATGCTTCCCGGCTACCCTCAAGGGCATAGCCCAGCGGTGGTTTGGTAACCTACCAGCCGGTTGCGTCAACAGCTTTCGAACTTTGGCGTACTTGTTTACGTCAAATTTCTCAATGAATATTCCTGCCAAAAAGACTAGCCTCGACCTAGGGGCAATACAGCAGGGCGACCGGGAGGGCCTCCGGTCATACGTCAGACGGTTCAATCTGATGAAAATTCAGATTCCAGGACTATCAAACGAAGTGGCCTATACAGACTTCTTTCAAGGTCTGAAGGATGGGTCGACCTTTAAGTTTGACCTCGTCCGGAAGAGGGTTGCTACCCTCCAAGAGGCGTTAATTGAAGCTGAAGCCTATATACAGGCGACGGAGCTTTGTGCTGTCAAGCAGCCGTCAGATTCTAAAAAGTCTGACAAAAAAGAGAGCCGGCAACAGCATCAGCCGACAAGAAAGGAAGAAAAGAGAAAAGGGGTCTGGGCAGCTGACCGATCAGGACAGCCGGCCCAGAAGATCAGGCGGAAGTCAGAACCGTATGTCCCCAAATACGAGTTCGCAAAAGATTGCTCCACCATCCTCCTGGAAATCAAAGACCGGATGTCTCTCGACAAACCGGCTGAAATGAAAAGCCCCGTGAATAAACGGGACAAGAGCAAGTATTGCCAATACCACGAGGATGTCGGCCACGACACCGATGGCTGCTATAGCCTCAGGCGGCTATTGGACCGTCTGGCAGATGAGGGGGCCCTAAAATCCTACCTACCCAAGGCTAAGGGTAATACCCAGGCCAAGAAAGGGCAGGCGGCAAAAACCGGCCCAGTAAACTCCGAGACGGATGAAGAGACCATCTTCACAATAGCAGGCGGTTTTGCCGGAGGGGGTCCTACCATCCGGGGCACCAAAGACAACATCAGGAAGCTGGTCAACTCAGTGGATGAGGGCCAGGCGTCGAAAGACATCTTTCCTGAGGTCCTTATTTCTGAAAAGGACCGGGGCAAGGTCAGGCGGCCTCATGATGACCCCATCGTCATCGAATGCAAGGTTGCGAACCAGAAGGTTGGCCGAATCCTAATAGACACCGGGAGCTCGTCTGACTTGATCAGTTATCAGTGCTTGACCAAGCTCAAGTACACATCCGGTACCATGCACCAGGCTCCTCACCCACTAGTTGGTTTTGGAGGTGGAGTAGTGCATCTGGTCGGAAGCATAGATCTTCCGATCCGGCTGGGTGAAAAGGGGCAAGGACGCCACATGATAGTCAAGTTTTTAGTTGTGGAGAAGCTGTCCGCCTACAACATGATATTTGGCCGTCCTACCCTCAACGCATCTAAGGCTGTCATCATCCCGTCCCTCATGTTGGTCAAGTTTCAAAAGGATGATGGTACAGTCGGTGCCCTAAGCGGGGACCAGAAGACGGCAAGAGAGTGCTATCTCTCTGACGTCAAGACAACTATGGGTGCAGCCGGCCAGGGTGAGCCCATAGATATTGATAACTGCGACCCAGCAGTCCCGGCTCCAAGGGCAGCCGGTAAGAAAAGAAAGGCGGACCAACTGGCACCCGTCAAAAAGGAGAAATAGCAATCACTAGCCGGGGAAAGGTCAGATGACCAACGACCTCAGCCGGCTGGTGACTGCCTTGATGTCATCCTAGATGACAGCCGTCCCGAAAGAACAGTCAAGGTCGGGACGGTAGCCTTCGAACGGTTGGGAGAAGGCTTGCTCCAGCTGCTGAAGGAATTCAAAGACATCTTTGCCTTTGAAGTGGAAGAGATGCCAGGCGTCAGCCCGGATCTTGCTGTCCACAAGCTAGCCGTAGATCCCAAAAAGCAGCCGGTTAGGCAGAAAAAGAGGGATCATGGTGGAGAAAGATCTCAAGCGGCAGCGGCTGAGGTCAAAAAGCTGTTGGATGCTGGGTTCATTAGGCAATGCTACTACCCGGATTGGGTGGCAAATGTCGTTCTAGTAAAGAAGCCGAACGGTACTTGGCGGATGTGTGTGGATTACACAGATCTGAACAAAGCATGCCCAAAAGATAGCTACCCGCTTCCAAAGATTGACAGCCTAGTCGACTCAACAGCCGGCCATGCGCTAATGAGCTTTATGGATGCCTATTCCGGCTTCCATCAAATACCCCTCTGGAAGAAAGATCAGGAGAAGACGGCTTTCGTCACTGATCAGGGGTTATTCTGCTATACAGTGATGCCGTTTGGGTTGAAGAATGCACCGGCTACATTCCAGCGCATGATAAACACCGTTTTTATCAACCAGATTGGCAGGAATGTAGAGGCGTATATCGATGACATGATAGTCAAATCCAAGCTACAGACGGATCACCTAGCAGACCTGCGAGAAACCTTCACCACACTCAGGCGGCACCGGGTCATGCTTAACCCAAAGAAATGCGTATTTGGTGTTGAGTCTGGGAAGTTTCCCGGATTCTTGATTGACCAAAGAGGCATCGAAGCTAATCCGGAAAAAATACAGGCGGTAATTGACATGAAGTCTCCCCGCACTGTAAAAGAGGTCCAGAAGTTGACCGGCTGCCTGGCGGCATTGGGGAGGTTCCTCAGCCGGTCAGGTGACAAGTGCCTCTATTTCTTCCAGGCAATCAGGAAGAGGTCAAGGTTTGAATGGGGTGAAGAAGCAGAGGCGGCATTCCAGAGGCTTAAGCAGCACTTGCATTCTTTGCCAAGGCTAGTGAGCCCCCTACCCCGGGAGGTTCTGTACATGTACCTAGCCGTCTCTGATCACGCCCTTAGTGCCGTTCTCCTCGCTGAGAGAGACGGCATTCAGCTGCCGGTGTACTTCATCAGCCATGTCCTTAAAAATGCTGAGCTCCGATACCCCATGATCAAAAAATTTGGGTTGGCCTTATTCGTAGCAGTCAAGCGGTTGAAGCCTTATTTTTTGGCACATCCGGTTGTGGTATACACAGATCAGCCGCTCAAGCGCACGATGACTGCTATAGAGTCATCCGGTAGAATGATCAAGTGGGCTGTTGAAATACAAGGCCTTGAGATAACTTTTGAACCCAGGCGGGCAGTGAAAGGTCAGGCGTTTTGCCGACTTCATTGTCGAGATG